AGTATTTGTCCTATTTTCTCAATGCAATAGGCAGCCAGATGTTAAACTTCAACATAAAACAGTCAGCGATTTTACCAGCAAAGGTGGCTTTATACAGGAATAGCAGAGAATTGCAATTTAGGATATACAAGTTACAGCAAAACCATAGGCATGTTGGCAGAACAAGGAGAGGAAGCTTTCACAGAACGGGCCAAGGTCGGAGGGCTGCTCCTGAGCACAGAGCCCTCTGGAGGAAACGGAGTTCCACATATTGTGGCTTCTCATTGGCTGAGTTGTGACCATCTCTCTCTCTCGTTGGCTGGCCTGTTGCTAGGGAGAGGAGGAAACCTTCCCTCTTCCAGCAGTGGAATAAAGTAGCTAAAACGTATAGTGCCTGGGACTGATTTACAGGGGTGGTGGGTGTGAGAGCTCCCCCCAGCTGGCCTCCCCGCACCGTGTCAGTGAGGCTTCCGTTTATGGATTTTCACACAGGTAACCAGCTGAGGGTAGGGTGAAGTCAGAGACTTAAGGAAAGGAGAGTGGGTGTGAGATGGCCTCTCTCGGAGGGTGGGAGTGTGTGTCAATTACAGGGGTTGATAGGCTGGATAATGAGTCTTGCAACAATGTAGACAACAGAATCTCTGAAATCTGTGAAACATGTTACCTAGAAGGACCCTGAGATGAAGAGATTATCCTGGGTTATCTAGACAGGCCCAATGTAATCACTGGTTGTCCTCATTGGTCATTGGAAGGTAGAGGAAACTTTGACTACAGAAGATATTACACTGCTGGCTTTGAAGATGGAGGAAAGGGCCAAAAGCCAAGGCATGTAGGTGCCTCTAAAAGCTGCAGGCAAGGAAATGGATTGTCCTCTATACCCTCCAGAAACAGATTCTCCACTAGAGCCTAGCAGCCCTGGTGACACTTCTATTTTTTATTTTTAAATTGAAGTACTGTTGACATAGACACCATGATTTTAGATTCATGACCTCCAGAACTAACAGAATGAAGCAGAACTAAAATCAATAAAGGGAAGCCTCACTGACATGGTGTGAGGAAGCCAGCAGGGAGGAGCTCTCACACTCAGCAACCCTGTAAATCAGTCCCGGGCACTATACTGTTTTAGCTACTTTATTCTGCTGGGGAAAGATGGAAGGTTTTCTCCTCCCCCTAGCAACAGGCCAGCCAATGAGAGAGAGAGAGAGAGATGGTCACAACTCAGCCAATGAGAAGCCACAATATGTGGAACTCCGTTTCCTCCAGTGGGCTCTGTGCTCAGAAACAGCCCTCCGACCTTGGCCCCTTCTACCAAAGAGCTTCCTCTCCTTGTTGTGTATTTGCATTGTTCCTGAATTTGTATTGTTTTAAGCCACCAAGTTTGTGTGGTTTGTTACAGCAGTCATAGGAACTGGGATGGGAGAAGGGGACATGCTGAGACTGCTGGGTGGCCCCAAGGACCCCCTTAAAGTTTAATGGCCTTGAAGTTAAGAGTGAAACCAGCCAGCATGGTTGACTGTTGTAATCCTGCCCCCTACAGGTGCATAGGTGCAGGGGTGGCCTGTACAGAGCTGGATTTAACCAGAGAACAATAAAGCAGGAAAAAGATGGGAAGTTGAGGTTGCATACAAGGGATGAAATGATTGACCATAGTGTTCATGACCAATAAGACAGGAGAGGATGAGGGAATCAGTGGATCACAAGTCCCAGAGGATAGTGTCTGGGTTGGGGGCTGGGGGTGAGGGAAAGTGGGGTGCTTGAAATCGAGATTATGGTGTGATTACCCATAATGGCAAGGTCTAGGGTCGGGGTTGGCAAACTACAGACCACAGACACAAATAAAAAATTCTAGAGACTGAGAGTGCTCTGAAATAAAAGAATTTATTGAACCTCTGCAGATGCAGCCAAATAAAGACTGAATCCTGGGACAGGAAGTTTCGGTTTCCCCAGCAGCAAAGTCAGTTAACATGAACAACTTGTCCACCAGACTCCAGAAACAGGGCACATTTATGAGGGGTCTCAAGGAAAGAGAGTTACTTAAATTCACATTGGCTACCGATAAGGGAAGGCGGGCTAAAATGAAGTGAGTAAATCTGAGGATAGGTGGACAGTCCACTGAGAAGGCTCATGGATTGGTTGTTGATGGTCAGACACTGGTCACAAGCAAGGGGGCTATGGTGGTTCTGGGGACCTTCTAGATTATTGAAATTACTTCATCCAGGAACATGGAGTCTCTGGCTAGCTGTGGCCTGTGGCTATTGACTGATGACCATCCCTTGTCTCTCTCCCTCATTCTCTGGTCTTTATGGCACTTAACTTAGGACATTTCAGAATTTTTCCTTATCAACAGATTAAACCCACCTACTCTCTGTTGGTATAAACTTTTACTGGAATACAGTTACACTTGTGGTATAATAAATATATTTGGTATTTGTCCCCAGTTGCTGGCAGAGCTCCTTAAAACCCTTGGAATTTCCTGAGAAATGGGAGTGTTTTTTGTCATTCATAGAAGCCCCAGTTGTGCACAGCTGCTTCTATACTAATGAGGTGACTGGGTGGGGCCCCTAGATAGCCTCATGATGGGGCTGGTCACCCGAAGGACCAAGTGACTAGAAGGTTGGAAATTTCAGCCTCTCGCACTGACCTCTGGGAAGGAGGAGGCTGTAGATTAAGCACCATAAAAAGTCTTGAACAATAAGATTTGATTAAATTTCAGGTTGGTAAACATGCCAGGAAGGTGACGCACCCCTGTTCCCTGGGGACAGTTGCTCATGCACTCAGGACCCTACCAGACCTCACCCTGAGTACCTCTTTATCTGGCTATTTGTTGTATCTTTTATCATATTCTTTATAATAAACTGGTAAATATTCCCCTGAGCTTTGTGAGCTGTTCTGACAAATGATTGAAAGCAAGGAGGAGGTCACGGGAACCCTCCAAAGGACAGAAGCACAACCAGACTTGCAGTTGCCCCTGAAGTGTGGGATCTGATGCTATCTTCCAAAACTGAGTTCAGTTTGTAGGACACCTCACCGGCACCTGTTGAGGACTGGGGAATTGCTTGGTGGTGGGGAAAACACTCCAGACCCTCGTGCTTTGATGTATTATCTATGAATGTTTTCATGCTTCCACAGCAGAATTGAGTAATTGTAACAGAAGCTGCATGACCCCCCCCACCCCAAAACTAAAATATATTTATGTACAAAGGGGTCTCCCTGCACAGGTTCAAATCCTGCCAGTTACGCCAATAGTGTTATAATGTTTCCCCTGGAGGAGGTGGTTCACCATCTGGGGCAAGTTCCTTATGAACTCATTGAGACAGACAAGGGCAAGACGTTGGGGGTGTAGTCAAAAGGGGTCCACGCCATGTTTATTCTCGCAGCAGTCGGTCTCAGTCTCTCCTGACTCCAGTACTACTCCTTCCTGCTCCCCAGCATAGGCTTAATCCTTTCCTAGCACTGGGGCTCCAGAGCTTCCCTCCACCAGCCACAGTTCTCTCCTACTTCTCCTTCCAAGCTCCCTGTTCCCGCACTGGCACGGCTCTCTCCCGCCCCCTGGGCTCTCCACTTCCCCGCCCCTAACACCAGGGGAACTCTGTGGGCAGGTCTCTGGTGGCTGGCCAATGCCTGACCAATTCCATACCAGGAAATGAGAAGAGAGAGTGGGTGTGTCCTCTCCACCCCTCCTCTGGGCTGGTATTCCCTGTGACTGACCAGCTGCTCTGTCCCAGTAAACATCCTGCCACTCTCCTAAGTATGCAAAGCAGGCTCTTATGTATATAATGAGCCCTATTAAAGCCAGGCAGGAATCCTGGTCAGAAGTTTCCATTTTCTGTACAATTACCTATGACTGCTTTCATGCTTCAACAGCAGAGCTGAGTAATTGTGACAGAAACTGTATGACCCCCCCACCTCACACCTAAAATATTTATGTGAAAATTAATAAAGGAAATTTAACTTAAAATGGAATCAGAGTCCAGCAGGGGGAGCTCTCACACCCTGCCGCTTGTCAGTTGCAGGGGGGTGGGGGGAAGGGGAGCTGGGGGGCGGGGAGGGGACCTACCTTGCAAGTGAACACTATTTTAGCTACCACTTCACAGCCCAGCCAATTAGACTGTCACAACTCCAGCAGTGAAGAGCCACACTTTGAACTTCCAATTCTCCCCTGTTCTCTGTAAAAGAGCTTTCTTTCCTTTGTTCTGCAGACTTGCCTATGGTTTTGCTATAACTTGTCTGTCCCTCATTGCAATTTTCTGCTGTTCCCAAATAAACTCTTTTTTGGCTGGTAAAATAACTGAGTTTCCCTTTTAAGGTTAACATTTACTATGTGGCTATTTACAGGAAGAGTTTGTTGAGCGCTTGTCTAGGGTATGAGTAGTCAAGACAGGGAAGAGGGCAGGGCAATGGGAGGAGGTCCAGAAAATCACCTAGAATGACGATGGTCCTGCTGAGGGAGTGACCCAGGCGTCAGCTGAGGGAATTCAAGGACAACGGTTTCTCTCCCCTCCAGGATTTTACGTGACCTTTTGCCTGACACCTCCTCCCCACCGTTTACCCCAGAAAACTGCTCATGCTCCAGGACCAGGTCAAAGGCCATCTCCAGAACCTTCCTCTGGCTGTGCTTGGGGCCCTGTCTGTGCTCTGGGAGACCCCTCATCTGAGCACCCAGTAATGGACTCTGCAGGTGTCACCAAGCCAGGGGGTTCCTGGAGGCCAGAAACTCCCGCCCATAAGTGAGGCAGGGCACATGTGAACAAGCGGACCTGCAGAGACCCCACCCCCCGTCCCAAGAGCTAAGTGAAGAGGGCAGGTCATCAGGGCATATTCAGAGGCCAAATGGGTGGCTCTGGGCAGGAAGCTGCCATCCTACTGTTCACAGGCCGGAAGCAGCAGCTGAGCTCTCAGCAAGGGCAGCTGTCAGACTCCAGTGGCTGTGACTCCATCTCCCCCTACACATTGATAGCAGGCAAGCAGGACGACAGACAAACCCCAGCTCAGCCCCAAAGCCAGACCCAGGGGTCAATGTGTAAAATAAACAAAGGTTTATTTATAAGCAAGAATCATGTCCAGTATACAGTGGAAACTGTGCAATCAACACAAGCCGGGGAACAGAGGCCACAACCAGAAAGGATCTCCTTCCAATTTGTGGCGAGGAGGCCTGAGGTCCTCCCACAGGGGGCAGACGTGTTTCATCGCCTGCTGGGCCCAGAGTGGGCGGAGACCCTAGCCCATCAGGCAGTGGGACATCCTGATTCCAGCATGGAAGCTTTTTTTTTAATTCACAGTAACAGCTGGACTTTCCTACCCTCCAAAAGTTCAGCTGCCAAGTTCAAGTCCACTGGAATTTTTCAACAAGGGATCCAAGTACCTGAGACCCATCTGACTTCTCAAGGAGTCCCCATCCCCCTTCCTTCCAGAATCTGCTTCAGGCCACACTTACCCGCCCTCTGCAGGGCATGTGTTGGGGAGTAGTGGGCTGACTCATCAACGGAGAAGAACCCTTTGGCGAAATTGTTGGCTACAGCTGCTTCAGGCAGGCCATTCAACACAACAACATGGCTACACGGACCCACAACGTATGACACAGACACAGACTGACTCAGCATATCACATCCACTCAGCATGGCCGCAGGTCGAATACCAAAGTGGCCCCACGGACACCCTGGAGCCTGGCACTCCAGGACCAGAGGGAGGGCCTGGGGGTCGGGGGAAACCGGAGCCCCGCTTCAGGAGGCAGAAGAAGGTCCAGGCTGAGGTAGGAGGAGAGAGATGGCTGCAGGGCCTCAGGCATCTCCAGTTCTTGCAATTCCCTGACAGAAGGTGTGGCCTCCGAACAGCACACCAGACACAGAGGAGGAGGGGCTGAAGTTGTGGGTAAATTGGAGTAAAGGTCAAAGGCAAAGAAGTAAACTCTGAGTTGGGCTTTGTTGTTTTGTTTGCCTGCATGGTGCTTACTCTTTTTTTATTATTTTCAATTGCCATATGTTAAAATGGGAAGATTTTCGGTTTGAGGTTTGCCATCTTGCCCAGGTCACGGCACTCATTCAGGTTGTGTGCCTGGCCTGTCTGGGTGTCTGATTTTATACCACGTGCCAGACGTGGAGCTGGCAGGAATGGATTGGGAGGTGGTGCTTTTCGGGGTCCTGAGCTAACCCAAGGCCCCTGTCCTCTGCAGGGCTTGCCAGCCCCTCCCTGCACAGAAACATGTGAATGATGACACTGACCCCCCTCCCCCTGAAAACTGCCCCTGGGACCGTCCTGCAGTCTCAGCATTCAGGCTAAAGTGCAGCCCCGTATGACTGCCCCTCCTCCATGGGAGACTCACGCAGCATCCCTCCTCCTCCGCAGGCCCCTCTGGAAGGCAGGATGCGGGGCCTCCCAGGAAGCCAGAGCTGGGTATAAAAAAACAAGGCCTCCAGAAGCCAAGCTCACAGGACCAGCTGGAGGGTGGCTCTTAGAGAGGCAGGGGTTGGGCCCGTGCTACCCAGCATGTCTGTGTTCAGCCAGGCTTCCCAGAGCAGATGCACACCATGACAGGAGGGGTTTTCCTTCACTTTCCCTGCCTCGTCCTTCTGCTTGCAGGTGAGAGGAAGGCTGAGGCTGTCGTGGCCACTACAGGAATTTGGCTCAGAAAGAGCCAGAGTCCTAGGGGGTGAGGGCCTAGAAGGACCAACCAGGGATCAGCCCACCTTGGTGGTGGTAGGGCCCCTGTCAGCCTGGTTAACTGTGCTTCATCCCAGCATCAGGCACACCAAGGGGCAGGGGCTTCTCCTCTGGGCTCTGCAGCAGAGTCTCTGGTGCCCCCGGCTGGGACTGAAAAGGGCATTCCTCCTTGGAGAAGGGGACCTGCTCATCCTTCGGGGAGCCTGAGGGACTGGCGTCCGATTCCCCTGTCGTGGAGCTGGCCTGGGAGGGGCACTGGGTGCTGTGGTCAGAGCTGCTACAAACATTCACGATGCAGGTGACGTTGACCTGGGTCCCGTGGCCACCGAGAGAGGGCTCTGTTAAACACAAGAATGGGACAGGGTGGTCAGCTGGGATGCCTGGAGCTTTGCAGCCTGGTAATCCTAGGCTCAAATCTCTGCTTTGCCTCCATGAACTCGGCCAAGTCACTTAACTCCCTGGAGCATTGGTTTGCTCAGCTATAAAATGGGCATAATACCCTTTCCATCTCCTTGCAGGCAAGGAGGAGTGTCTTGTTCATTGCCATATCCCTAGAACCCGCTTGGCTCGTGGAGATGGGTGACACTCTCAGCAGAGCATGGGTTGAACACTAGCACCGCTATTCAACCACCTGTTCTGCACCTCAACCCGACTCTACCCCCATCTCACAATCTGCCCCTTCTCATCTCAGTTCATATTGCTATCATCCACCCAGTTGCTCTCAAAGCCTCGGACCTATCTTGCTCTCACAACCCATTAGCAATTCTTACCTTGCCTACCTTCAAGAGATTCTTCAAGTTCACTGCCTCCCGCTCCCACTCATACAAACCTTCATCCACTCCCACCTGGACCAGTGTGAACAGCTTCCACCTGTCTGCCAGCTTCTACCCCACCCCTCTGCAGTCTGTTCTCCACCAGCAGCCAAAGCCAGCCCTTTAGAACTTGGCAGATCACTCCCTTGGCTGCTCAACACACCACAGTCCTCATCACAGCCTACAAGGCCCCACACAACTGGTGCCTGCCTTCTCCTGCTGCTCTGCGATCTCAGCTGGGTTCCTTCCAGCCACACTCACACCCCTGAAGCTCCTTGAGCCCTCCAAGCCTCAGAGCCTTGGCATGTGCTGCTCCCTTAGCCTGGAACACTCTTCCTGTTTCCCAGGGCTCACCTCCTTTCTTTTACTCATGCCTCAGCTCCAGAGGCCACTGCTTCCAAGAAGCCTCCCTGACTTTCTTCTCTAAAGACATTCATTCACCCTGTGCCATCCATCACTCCCTGCGTCCCACCCTCTGCTATGATCTCCAGGGCCCATAGTTGCTCCCACTGTACAATCAATTTCCTGGGTTACTTGTTTGTGTCTCCCCCACAGGCCCTGAGCCCAAGAGGGGGGACCTTTGTGACTGTACCTGTGACTCTAGTGCCTATAACAAGGACACATGCAAATGGATAAAAACCAGCCCACAGGTGTGTTTTCTTCTTGTTGGTGGTAGTGTGAAGTGGCTACCAACATTTAAATCTCAGGAGTCTTTATTTTAAAAATCTGGATTTATGGCTCCCTGTGGGCCTTGGAGGACCCACATGCCTGAACACAACCGGCAGCAAAGGCTTTGCCTCCGCCCTCCCACCCAGCCGGCCCTGTGGGCATCTGAATTTCCTAACCAGCAGGTGAGGGCCTGAATGACAGATAAGCTGAGGTCAGTGTAAGGGGATGGATATACAACGGCCCCTCAAATAGCAAGAGCTGCTGCTGCTCTTAGTTCAGGGCGGTCTGAGTATCCAAACACATTCAGGGTGCACAGGGATGCACCCTTTGTTTTCCAGTCCAGTTTGTTTTCTGACTCCAGGAAGCCTAGGAGGAGGATACAGCCAGCAAGCTGCTCTGCTCAGAAAAGCCCCGAACAGGCTGGGGTGAGGGAGTGCTGAAATCATGGGGCTGGAAGGAAATTTCCACTGAGCCTCCATGACACCCAAATGCTACCCAAAGTCACTATGGCCTTTGTGCATCATGAGTGAGACACTGCAGAGGCATTCAGGGGCGCCATGGGGGAGGCATAGCACCAGGGGTGACACGTTCCCACAGAGGACAGAGATGCTAGTGTGAGAAGCAAACAGGGCAGAGCAGAGGTGGGCACTCACAGTCAGGGCTCCGGGGCCAGGCAGGAAGCCACACCGAGAGGACCACAGGAGAGGCGCCATGGAGAACACAGACTGAGTTTCCATTTGGAGCTCACCCATTTGACCAAGTTTAGGGCCACCTGCTGTGTTCCTGGCACTGACCCAGGCCCTTCCTTAGGGAGCCCCTGTGCTGGGACTGAGGACACTGAGGAGGGCAGGCACTGGTGGGGAGAGCGGACGTGGGGCACCACAGTCCACGTGGCAGTGAGGGGAGGAAGCAATCCCTGAGTCAGGTGACAGGGAGACAAGGGTGTTGCAGTCCTGCCAAGCAGGTGTCATGCCCTTCTCTAGATGAGGAAACTGAGGCTCGGCAGGGCAAAGGAGCCTACTGATTCTGGTGGCACCCAAGCAGCTGAGAGGACATCTGGGAATGACCCAAGTCCAGAGTCTTTCCTGGACTTACCACCAGCCAGCACTGCCAGGTGAGAGGAAGAGACCAAGGCCAGCAGACTTGACCTCTCACTACAAAACACACTCAAGGAAGCCCCAGGCTTTCTGGGGGACCCCAGCAGGGGCCCCATCGTGTGGGCACTGGCTGCTCACCAGGGGTGACACCTGTCACAGACCAGGTCCAGGGCACAATTCATATACTGTGTAAATTGGGCTTGGGCTTCTGCAGAACCCACATGACTCCCACAGGCCTCATGCCCAAAGGGACTGGCCAAAGACCACGGTGAGTGGAGCCCTGGAGGCATTTACTTATTCAGCTTTCTATGCCAGGTCTCTGGGGCCTGAGAGCCCAGGGCTGATTCCTGGCTCTTCTGTTCACTGGCTGTGTGCCTTTAAATAAGCTGTTTAACTTCTCTGGGCCTCAATTTCCTCATCTGTGAAATATAATAGGTATTAATTTAATAATATATTATATAATAATATATACCATGTCCAATAATCATAATTATAATATATTATATTGTTTCATCATACATCTATAATGATATAACATATTATCATATATTGTATATAATATACGAGAAAACTCCCTGCTGAGATAGGAGGGACTCGAAGGACAAATTAGGATTGTCTAGAAGGATGTTCCTGGTGAAAGAGCCCACAGGGGCAAGGTGGGGAGACACTGGTGAGTTCAGAGAAGGCAAAGACATCTGTGCACCTCAGGGGACCAGGGCAACGAGGCTGGAGATGGAGCCAAGGCTAATCACGTAGGGCTTTGAACACCCGGCCAGGAGCTCAGGCCCCTTCCCACAAGGGAGCCAGCAGGAGATGCCCAAGACAGAAGGAAAGGAGAAATGCAAAGTGGGGGATGAAGCCAGGTGGGCTCCCACCTCTTCTTACCTGAGCTGCCAGAGCTGGCCCGGGCCTCCCCAGACCCACTGGCCTTCTTGGGCCCCGGTGCCTGCAGCTGGCTCCTGGAGGGCGCCCTCCTGTCCACAGCGCTGGCGGAGCTCTCCAAGGAGCTGCTGCTGGAGCTCGGTGCTGCGGTCAGCAGATGCTGCTGCTCAGAGCCTGGAGCACCGCGGGCCTTATCAGCAGGCAGGTGAGGCTGGACAGGGAGGAAAAGGGGGGGGTGTGGTCAGCCCATCTGCCAGCCCCTCTTCCCTCTTCCTTCTCACCACCATCTGTACCCCATGCCACAAGCACTCCTCAGTTTGCACAGTGCTTTCTCCATGCTTCCTGTGATTAGCACCCGGCTGCTTACTGAGCGTGTGTCCTATGAGGGCAAGGGCCATGCGGCTCTGTTCACCAGTCTTAGAGGTGGGGCAGGCTTTTCATCCTCATTCTGCATAAGCAAATAGAGGCCCAGAGAAGGAGAGTGGCTTTCCTAAGGTCACCTGTGGATAAAGTGAAGGTTGCTACGGCCAGGATCCCCACCTGGGCTTAAACTACTTCATGAGGTAACTGGCCTGCTGCTAGGCTACTGCTCCCACACCCGTAGGCAGTGAACTATTATTGACTGAGTCACTATACAAAGAGCTCTGCCCAATGCTCTGGGCGGAGGCAGGGACAACGAAGGAGGATTACAGAATGAGGGATGGACTACTGGATGCAGATGTAATTCTAGTGCTCAACCTAACGCTGGGAGAACAAGCCCAATAATAAACCTTTTCACCCCAAGAGAGTGCTATTGTCATTCCTTGCTCTCACTGAATCCACACTAAACTTGCCCGGGGCTGAAACCCATTGGCAAGACATCACCCCATCAGCATAGGGTGGTGTGGCCCAGACTGACAGCCAAGAGCATGGACTCTGGAACCAAAGCACAGGGGTGCAAATCGTAACTCCATCTCACCAGCTGTGTGACTGGACAAGTTACTTATTCTCTTCTGGGGAAAGCTGGGGTTCCTATGGCCAGGATCCTCACCTGAACCTAACCTACCTGATGACTTAACTGGCCTGCTGCTAGGCTACTGCTTCCACACCCTTTCACACCCACGGGCAATAAGCTATTATTGAGTGAGTCACTATATAAAGAGCTCTGCCCAGTGCTCTGGGCCGAGGCAGAGACTAGGAGGATTACAGACCTGCCCGACCTGTCCCCAGGAGAACAAGCTGGGTAATAAACCCTTTTACCCCAAGAATGTTCCATTGTCATTCCTTGGTCTCACTCCATAGTGAATGTGCCCAGGGCTGAAACCCATGGGCAAGACACCTCTCTATGCTTCCATTTTTTCATCCATAGAGGGAGGATAAAAATGTACCTCCCAGGCTGGCTACAGGCATACATAGGAGAAGTAGCTACAAATATCTGAGTATTTGTAAAGTGCTCAGAACAATGCCTGTTACATAGTGAGCTTCCTACGAGGGTTTGTTGAATTGGGGGTGGGGCTGACTACGGCCATGAGCCAAATCCACTTTGCCAGGATGCAAGCTAAGAATGGTTTTCACATTTTTAGATGGTTGAAAGTTGTTTTTAAAGAATAGTATTTCATGACATGTGAAATTGTGTGAAGTTCCAAGTTTTAGTGTCCATAAACACAGTTATACCGGAATACAGCTACTCCCATTTGCTTATGGACCATCTGTGGCTGCTTCCCCGCTACAATAGCAGGTGTGAGTAGTTGTGACAGAGACCATATGATCCTAAAATTTTTATTATCTGGCCCTTTACAGAAAAAACCCTGTTTTCAATCAATCAGTCCAGTGTAAACAGCCTTTTTATTTGGGACCCTCAGCCATGCTGTGTCAGCGACCCTTTCCAGATTCCGTCCCCCGCGGTCTTCTGTGAGTCCTCCTAATAACTCTTTCTCATAGGAAAACATAAATAACGATAATAAAAGCCAATAGTTCAATGTCATCTAATGCCAAGTGCTGTGCTAAAGTCCTTCCAGGACACTATATTGACCCTTCCAACACCCCCATGTTATCCTTGCTTTGCAAATGTGGAAACCAAGGCCCAGAAAGGTTGAGTTACTTGCCCAAGGTCACACAGGATATGGTGCAGCTAGGCTAAAACCCACGACACCTTTCCTGCGTGTGTGGGGGTTAGCTCTGGAGGCCCAAGAGAAGGTGCCTACTTGCAGACACGTGCACTGGGGAGCACTTTGAATTTCCACTGAGGCTTTTCTTGTCCAGACCAACTGAAAAAGCAGGCGCACAAGCTCTTGCCTTGGGGTTCTGGGTGACTGCTGGGTCGCAGAAATTAAGGAGATAGAAACAGAAGGGTTCATGTTCCCATCCACTACCCTGGCTTCTGGCCGGTGCAGGACAAGAGGGCCCGGTGGAATGAGGACTGAGGCCAGTGAAAGGCTGGTGGAAACGGCCCAGCACAGGACAGAAGGGGCAGGTGAGGGCCAAAGTGGGCATTTGCTCCAGGGCTGGGGGCATGTCAGCCCCTGCTCCCGGGGAAAGGCTGAGACCCCCCTGGCCTCGCCCCAGAGGGCGCTGCAATCCAGGAGTGCTCTGAGGGCTGGCTTGCTCTGGCCAATCACTGCAGCCCTCGGCCCCCAGCCCCGCCCACTATGCTGTGACCCCTGGGACACCTGAACCCTCCCCAGGCACTCAATGCCTTGGCAGGCTTGTCCACAGCCTCTGACTCCGGAATGAAAAGATCCTTGGCAAGCTGTCCTGTGAAGCTGCGGGGTCCCAGGGAGGGTGTGTCATGGGCTCAGTATCACACAGCTGGTCCAGTCCATGGTGTGGACAGGATGGGCCCAGACAGGGCTCAGACCAGGGCTGCTCGCTTCGCACTGGTTCCTGCCTCCCTGGTTAACTGCCTCTCCGCCCATCCACCGCCTCATCCCTCCTAGGAGAGATGCGGAGCATTTCAAGTTCAGGCTGAACCTTTGCCTAAGTGGTCTGTGGTCACTAGCCCCCTACCCCTGGCTCTGCTCTGAGCCCAGACAAAACAGGGAGGGAGAGGGCAAGCACCCAAAGGTCACTCCTCACAACCCCCAGAAAAGGGGCTTTTCACAGCCTGTACCCTGCTCCTCTGCTGGTGGCTAGGGCTGGGCAGAACAGAAACCCCAAAGGTCACAGCCCACCTCCCTCCACCAAAGCCACAAGTTGCAAAGTTCACGCAAGCTCTGAGTGGGGCAGATGCATCCTGCATCCTGTTCCTTGGGCTGGGACCCCAGGCAGGGGGAGTACTGAGGGGTCTCATTCCAGAAACAGGATCCTAAAAGATGTGGTATACATACACAATGAAGCATTACTCAGCCATAAAAAGAAATGAAATGTTGCCGTTTGTGATGACATGGGTGGACCTCAAGGGTATTATGCTTAGTGAAGTCAGAGAGACAAACACCACATGATTTCACTTATATGTGGAATCTAAAAAAAACACAACTGAGGAGCAAACAGACAAGAAGCCAGAAACAGACTCATTAATAGAGAGAATGGTGGTTGCCAGAGGGAAGGGGGTGGAGGGTGGGTGAAATAGGTGAAGGGGATAAAGAGGTACCATCGTTCAGTTACAACCATGTCATGGGGATTAAAAGTACAGCATAGGGAATATAACCATTAATATTGCAATAAGTTTATACGGTGACAGATGGAACCTGCATTTATCATGGCGAGCATTTTGTTATGTATATAAATGTCAAATCACTGTGTTGTACACCTGAAATAAATTTATGTCAATAAAATATTTTTAAAAATAAAAAAGGATCCCAGCCAGCAGCCAGCCAGCCCCCTTCACCTTCCAGTACCTCATGGCCCAGCCCTGCCAGAGCAGAGATCCTGGCAGGGCCACCACCTGGGTCCTCCAGATTCTTACATCGCCCATGTCTGTGTGTGCGAGTGTGTGTTCATGAAGCTTACATGCCTGTATGTGCAGGCCCAAGGGTGTGTGAGAATGCACAAATGTGTGTCTGCGTATGTGGGTGTGTGTGCACATCTGTTAGTGGTGTGCATGCTGGGGGCGGTGAAGGTAGGCACTACTCGGTCTATGTCTCAGGCCATTCTCATTAGCTGTGTGACCCTGGGAAAGTTACTTACCTTCTCTGAGCTCAAGTTTCCTGAGCAGTAAAATTAGGGTGATAATCTTCCTACCTACATCATAGTATGGCTGTGAGACTAGATAATGCTTGGTACTGTGCCTGGCATACATTCGTCACCTCATAAACACTCATCCTCATTATTGAACGTGAACCCATGTGTGAGGGTGTCTGTGGGAGTGATTGTGGGTGAGTCACACATGCGGGTACATTGGCCTTTGCTAAACGAAGGGAAGCCACCATCCCTTTGCAGCAGGAGGAACACAGTGGTGCTGCATTGCTGCACTCTCCACCCCAGCGGCGTGGCCTGGGTGTTATACAGCCTCTTAGCAGGGACTACTGCCACCAGCTGAGTAGTAGAGTGGGGCACAGGTGGAGCAAGGGGGCAGGGGGAGGAGCCCAGACACTGAAGGGCACCTGAGAAGGTGAGCAACCCTTGAGGACAGGCCCTAGTGGGGTGCGGAGAGCGCGACGGCTCTGTACGTCTGCCCCAGCAGAAAAGGATGCTGGACAAAGCCTGCAGATTCAGCCTGAGGTTTTCTGACCTTACGCAGCTAACTGAACCTCCCCGAGATTCAGTTTCCTCATCTGTAACGTGGGGTGATGCTACTGCCTACCTCACAGGGGAGTGTGAGGACTCAGTAACAGAGCACAGGCAAAGACCCTGGCCTGGGGCTCAGCCAATCGCGTGTGGAACCAGCTCAGGCCTGTATGTGTTTCCTCCCAGGTCCACATTCAATAAGGTCTTGGTAGCTTGAAATTGGCCATGGTGGCAGTGTTTGTAAGACAGCAATGAGCGAACACCACACATCAGGGTTTTGGCATTTTTTTGCTGCCCTAAGAGCCGGTTACCAGCACACTCACTCAATGGGCTGCTCACAGAGATCACAAACTCAGTGAAGGGAAAAGGGAAGCAGGGCCAGTGGGCCACACCCAGGACATCTTTACGCACAAAGTATTGGGACACAGGAAACAGAATGTGGCAGCTGGGCTGCAGGGGTGGGACTTGGAGGGTGTACTTGCTCTACCTGCCACCAGGTAGCCGCTGTCAGCATCACCGAACTGAGGCCAGGAAAACACACACTCATACCCTGGGAGAATAAGAACTGGTTGGCACTCCCAAACAGTGTTCATGACAGGCCAAAGAGCACTAGGCTGGGAGTCTGGAGACACATTGCTGTGTGGCCTTGGGCAAGTCTCTTTCCCTCTCTGCACCTCTTTTCTTGTCAGCAAAATCAGGGAATGAAATCAGTTTCTCATCCCTACCAAGTCTGAAACCCTGTGTAAACCTCAGGCCCTGGGCCGCCCAGGGCAGTGCTTTTCCCTAGCACAGTGGTTCTCAAGGAGGGGGGATTCATCCTCCAGGGGGCATGTGGCAATGTCTGGTTGTCACTTCTGGGAGGCAGTGCTACTGGCATCTGGTTGGGAGAAGCCTGCAAAATTGCTGACCAGGCTACAGTGCACAGGACAGCTCCCCAGGACAAAGAATCACCTGGCCCCCAATATGAATACTGCAGAGGTTGCCAGCAGGACGGGAGGGTGTGGGGGAACATGGCAGGGAGTCCCTCAGACTGTTTCCTCATCTGTAAAATTGGGTAAAAACCCTGCCCTGCCTACCAGGTACCAGGAGCAGACACTGCATGCTGGCTCACCCCACACGCATCTCACATGCATTTCCAAGTCATCTCCCTGTCCTTCACCAGAGGGGCTGGAAAGCAAAGCACGCTCTCTCCCAGCTTCCCTTGCACCCAGGGGCGGTCCATGACACCATTCTGGCCAATGAAACCAAAGGAGACATCTACCCAGGGCTTCTGGGATGGGCTCTGATTTCCTGTTAAAAGACACTATGGCTGGCCTGCCCATTTCCTCTTTTTCCTGCCTCAAACCTGGAGGTCACAGGTGAAGTGGCTATCACCATCTTATGACATAAGGCCACATACAAGAGAACACAAGCTAACATGCTCAAAACAGCAGAGTTTGGGCTCCTGCTGACTTCACAGAAGGAAACTGAACCATTCCAGCAGCCACCAACTCCTTGAATCCTTGGTATGCCAGGAAAAATTAAGCCCTTTGCAGTTACTTGCAGCCCAGTACCTTCCTGATGGAGAATTGATGAAATACTATGTCAGTGCCCCATCTCTGACAAAGGTCTGCCACAGACCCTACTTTATAAAAAAGATCAAAGGTGAGCTGCTTTGATTGAAGTGGGGGCAGGACCCAAGGCCCAAACCTCCAGGATCCACCTCAACCCTGGAGATGACCCTGGGGTCTGTGGGACCCCAAGGACCCCATTACTGCTCCATGAGGAAATGCTTTGTAGGCATCACCGAGATGCTGAGAACTGCTGCCAGCTAAGAGGGGTGCAGAGCCCTGCAAGCTGGGCCACATAGACACTGTCCCCACTTTAAGGTGAGAGAACAGAGCCCTAAGCAGTTTCATATCCACTGAGGTCACACTTATGGGTCCAGGAGCAGGTGCTTCCCACTGACACCACTCACCCTGCTGCTCCCAGATGTGGCATTTCATACTCACTGTCTCCTGTAGCCCAGGGAGGGCTGCCTGACCCTCCAAAAACAGACACTGGCTGGCCTTTTCACAGCCTCCCAGGGCTCTGCACACCACCTGACACTGGACAGACCAACCTAGAGAATTCAGTGCTTCCTGTGGGACAACCCTGCCTACCAGGAGACCGGGCAGGAGGAGGGGGAAGGCAGAGGGGCACTCACCACCTTGGCTTCTCCTTGTAGGCATAAGGGCTTCTCTGCAAAGAGACAGGGGACAAGTCAGGCAGAGTGGCTTCCTCAGGCCAAATCTGTTCTAACTAGGAGGGTGGCGGGGTCCAAACTGAACCAGCAAGAGTAGGCATAGCCCTGGGGGTGATAATTAGCTACCAGACCCAATCAGCCACCATACCCAATGCTCCAGCTGACCTGACGGTGTTCCCCTCCACTCCCCCAGCCCCAACCATTCTCTAGCCTCCCTGCCTCTGCGCATGCCCTCTGTTCAGCATGCCCGTTCTTTCCTGCATACATCCACCCAGGGAAATCTTACCCTGCTCAGATGCCACCTGCTCCAGAAGGCCTAAATCCCCCAGGATTTCCAGACAAGAATCCTGGCTCATATCCCCTTGGATATCCCTGATGGCATCTTGCCTTTTAGAAGATCCGTTAGTGGCAGTGCCTTCTGCCCAGGCGCTAAGCTCTTACAAAACAGAGGCTGCATATTCAGCTCTGCCTGACCCATAGGCCATGTCCAGTGCCAGACTCACAGGAGGCACCCCAGAAAAGCTCCCTGAGTAACGACTGTATGAGCAAGTGGACCAAGAAGGAAGGAAGGAATCTTACCTTTCTTATGCATCATGATGACACAGTTCACCAGCCCTATAAGTACCAGACAGAAGGCTGTCACACCAGCAATCACTCCTAGAAGAAAAAGAGAAGCTCAAAACAACTGCAGAACGCAAATTCCATGTGCCAGGGGGCCATGCAGGCAAGTCAGTGACCAAAGATGGCTGGAGCTGTGGCAGGGGACAGGCAAGCCCAGGCCAGAGGCTCCCAAATTCAATGACAAAACAAACCCAAAATCATGTGCCAAGCAAAGTGTCTCTGAGGCCCACATTCAGCCCAACGGTCACTAGTTTGAGACCTCTGGCCTGAAGTAGTCCTAACTTCACAAGGGAAGCCCATGAGGTCACCTGGCTCAGCCTACTGCCTAATGAGTTCATCAGAAGGGCAACCAGGGGACCATCTCCATGTTCAGATAAAACGCCGATCCAACCCAGGGGTTCCTAGTGACTGCACCAGGTCTGGGGAGAAAACAAGCCTCACTGCCATCTGGCCTCTCAGGACACAGCACAGTGGCCAGCCCACAGTGGGCTCTTAGTAAGACCCTGAGAGAGAAGAGAGGGAGGGAGGGAGGGAGGAAGAATGGGCCCTCCTGTGGCTTACCAATGGGCAGAGAGATGTTGCCTGTGCTGAGTCCTTCAACTGGGGGGCTTGGGCCCACCGGGAGCAGGAAGAAGGTGCTAGGAGCTCTGCTGGGGCCTGGAGTTGGGGCCGTGTGTTGGGAGCTCCCGGCTCCTGTCTGGGACGTGGGGGCTGAGCCTGGGGCCATTCTCATGGTGGGGAGCACAGCTGTGCACACCGCATCCATGCTTGCGTTGCCTGGGATGGACACGGAGAGACAACTGGGGGAGAAGGAGGCTTGGTCAGGGGCAACAGAGGACAGAATGCCTCAGGGTGGCTGAGCTCACCCAGAGCCAGGGCTGCGGGTGAGGGTCCCAGCTGTGGGATATGGGAGGGAGTATGTGTACCATGCCCTCTCTCAGGACTGCCCCCTTCCTGTCTCCACCCCACCTCTCCCCAGGCTCTCCAGTTCGTCTTGAAATCCAGGGCAAGGCTACTATTCATGTGCTGTCTATCCTGGGACACCGCCACGCCCACCACCGCCAGATAAACCAGGCCTGGCATTGAACAGGACTCAGCAATGCCTCAACCCAAGGAAGGGGATGGGGACATTTCCGGCACCATGGCATGGCTGCTCCATGCTCTAGCCCCCACAGTCACCCAGGGACAGCCCCTCCCTGCTCCTCCAGAACCAAAGGACACAGCCACTTACATCTGGTGGGGCCTGCAAGTATCTGTGGGCGATGTAGTGTCGGAGAACGTCCCTGCGCCACAGGGAGCACACACGACGTCTGACGTTGCAGTTCCTGCAAGGAACAATTGAAACCCGTTACCAGCTCAAACACTCCATAGAACAGGTGGGCCCTGGCACTGCAGCCCCAGGGGACGTGTGAGGGGTCCACAGCCCTCTGTCTGCCTCTGTACCCCTTAAAACACACACCTGCAGCTGGGCAGAGTCTGTCCTTGAACCTATTCTAGAGACTTCCTGGTCTCCAAGATCACTGGGCTCATCTTCCTATGACATCACCTAACTTTCCAATAGCTTAGGGCGCAGTCTGATCCCTCTCTGGATCCCTGGGGCCTCCTCACACCTCACTGATCAGGAGTGCTGGAGGAAAGAATGAATGGGGGCAGGGCGGACAGCCGGGGAAGTATGACTACCTGGCCTCCACTGGTGACATTCCCAGGCTGGGCTGATAGGTTGCTACCCATGAAGGAGAGTCCAGGGGGGTCCCTGGGGACTGCCGCCCCAGCCCCATACCTGGTTTGGCCACGCCAAAGCCGGGGCGACACTTGCGCAGGGGTGTACACAGCCGGCACCCCTCCTGCCTCCTCAGCATGCAGTACCAGCCCGGCCTGCAGGTGCAGATGCGGTTCTGTTCCCGAGTGCAGGCTTGGGTTTCCACTTGGTCTAGAGGGGCGAGAGGACAGCCCAGGGTCATTCCCGCCTGAGCCAACCCTGCCTACCACCATGTCCTCCCAGTCAGCCCAAAGGGCTGTGCTGCATGGTGGCCAGGGAACGTGCCAGATCACGTGCCGGACCAGCCCTCTCCCTGGGCCCACTCACTGGAGCTGCAGCGGGAGTCACAGCTCAAGCACTGGAAAGCCCGGTTCCAGAGCTCGGTGTACGTGCTGTCCTCGCAGGGGGCACACTTGGTATCTGAAGTCTTGTTGCAGTAGGATTGTAAATGGTGGCCTGAGAAAGCAAAGGCCAGAGGTCTCAGTGGGGTGGGTCTTCTGTCAGGCCCCGCCCACTGTTCCTCAGACCCCAGAGTTCTGCCACCTGGCTGGGAAGGAGCTTTGCTGGAGTTGCAACTCCTTCATCAGGTCACCCACATCATGCACGTGCCGGCTGCCACTGCATCTCTGAACCCTCACTGCCCAGAAAATATTTTCCCCTCTGCTCTTTCCAGATGCCTGGAATGCCAGCGTTGGAACTGCCTATTATTAATCAATCACACTTCAATGAGAACTGCTTTGCCAGCTCCCTTCTTCTTTAGAGTTTGCTGAAATTCTCCACCTGGGGGTATGAAGCAGAGGGGAAAAAAGCAGTAGAAGTAGTGTCCCTGGTATCCTATCAAAGACAAGGGTTCCTGAAGGCCTGGAGAGAAGGCATGCCAGGGGACAGAAGACCACCACGACAAGCCCTTAAGGAGCTTCTCTTCTGAGCCCTGAAGTCCTAATCCTGCCATTTTCATGGCTGTGCTGACCTAGTAACTTCTTACAGAGATTCTGATGAGCCAGCAGAAGATAGAAGAGTCACTCCCCTGGGGTCTCTTAAAAGGGCTGTGGGAGGTGATGGGTACTTCTGTGCCTGCCCACATCTCAGGCTAATGGCGCAGAGCCCTCCAACGGCTCCCTAGCTCCTGCAGAGTAATATCTAAACTACTTCCCTGGCTCCTGCTTACTTACTCGCTCTGGGCCACACGCTGGCCTCGCTGTTCATCATGATCGCCCAACGGGCTCCCAGCCCAGACCCTGTCCACCTGCCATTGCTCCTGCCTGGCATGCTGTTCCCTGTGCATCTGTGTCACTCACTCCCTCGCTTCCTGCATGTCTCTGCCCAAGCGTCAGCTCCTCAGAGAGGCCCTCCCTGACCGTCTCATAAAACAGTGTGTCCTACTCCCATCTGTCTCCATCTGTCTCATCCTGCCTCATCTTCCTCACAGCACTCACTCCCTGAGAAGACCACACATCTATTTCCTATGTTGGTTTATTTGTCTGTGCTATTAGAATGCAGATTTTGTCTGCCCTGCTCTCTGTTGTAGTCCCAGCACTCAGTGTCTGACACTTAGTAGGTGCTTTATAAATATTATAGGAATGCATGCATAAATGAATGAATAGGGGATGGCACCAGGAGTTGGACCAACCTAGCTCTCCCAACTGGAGTTGGGCCTCAGGTCTACCATCTGTGAAATGGGTAAGCATTCAGTGATTCAGTCAAATACATACTGAGCATCCACTGTGTGCCAGGTGCTGGGGAGTCAGCAAAGAACAAGCCCACAGTCCCTGTTCCCCAGCCCGGGTGCCAAAAGAAGGAGCCAGGCCATGACTGCAGCATTAAAAGACCTGCTGCCAGATCTGGCCGGGCAGTGTGGGCTGCTGTCCTGGAGGACGAGGATATCTAAGCAGAGGTCTGAAGGGAAAGTAGGAGTTAACGAGGGAGCTCAGGGAGCTGAGGAAGAAGGAACCACAGAGGGACCATAGGGCCAGTTCAAGGAACAGAAGGCGTTCAGTGAAATCAAGGACCATGACCCTGTCACCCCACCTCCCAGCTCCACACACACACACACACACACACACACACACACACACACTCCCTCCAAGGCACCAGCCACGAGGGACTTCGCCAGGCCGAGGGTCGGGGCCCCGGCAGCTGCCCTCACCAGGTGGACACAGGCTGCAGCATGCTTGGGCCCCCGTGTCAAAGTAGTCTTGCGGCTGGCATGAGCTTCCGGGTTCCGGGACGTAGAGGGCAAATGCCACCTGGAAGGGGAAGGGAAGGACAGCCATCAGCATGGCCACTGTGGGTTCTTCCAGGCCTGACACCCAGCTCCCCATCCTGTGTCCTGCGGGTGTTTGACCTTCTCCTCACTGGGGCTCTACTGATGTGGGGACTTTTCCCTTTGCAGTGGGTTGGGGCAGAAAGGAGAATCCCTGCCTTCTTTCACCTCCTCCTCCTCCTTCCTCGGTGCAGCATGCTCATGTCTGCAGGTGGAGGCCCTGAGCCAGCGGGCTGGAGGATGGGGCTGGCTCCTAACAGTACAGGGGGCAGGCGGAGGCCCTGAGGCCACCCGGAAGGCACTGGCCTCCATCACAGAGGACCCAGTGCTCAGCAGTGCCGAACGCAGGGTAGAGCTCCTTCTCGCCATCAGCTCCTTGTGCTGCAATGGGTCCCTGCTTGTCCTCTCACTCTGAGTGGCTGCATGTGCACATAGGCACACTCCACAGTGCCTACGATGCCGAGGACAGAAATGATGGGGACCCTCAGCCTCAAGGCAGAGTTGGGGCTCAGCAGATGAATATTTGTTGATAACAGTGACAAGAGTCACCATTTCCAGAGCACGTATGGGGTGCCAGGCCCTGTTCTGAGGGCCCCCAGGGGTTCTGGGTGCCAGATGCCCTTGTGCCACACTCAGATCCCTTTCACTGGTGAGGTGCCCACCCACCAGCTGCCATGGATGTTGCCCCTCCACGGTGGGGCCGGCGCTGTGGTAGGTCGTGCTCCAGAGCCTCCCCCCGGGGCTGCAGGGAGGTGGGCTCCCTCTGTGTCCTCCTTCCCCCTCCACAGCACCGCCATAGAGTGTGACTGCCAAAGCCCAGGGCAGCTGGGCGTGTGGCCGACCCCTGCAGAGGACGAGCAGGCCTGGAGACCCGGCTGCTTTCCCTGCTTGGCCTAACAGGCAGCCCCAGATCCACCCCGGAGGACACGGCTCAGCGCCAACAGCTAGCAGCTATCCAGGGGAGCGACCCCAGGGGCTAGGGTTCCTGCGGCTCACCCCCATGCCCTGGCCTGAGCTGCGTCCTCTGCCTAGAACCGCCTTGCGCTTCCTCTGACTGAAATCCCATTTGTCCCTTGCGACAGCAGCCTCCCGCTGAAGGTTTCCCTGCCCCCTCCTCACTCTGAATCGCTCAGACCCAGAATCTTAACTTTCCTCCCTCAGGGCCCCTGGCACACAGGACTGTGTGGACTGGGGCTGACTCTCTGATCCTACCCCAGAGCCTGGCATGTACTAGGTGCTTAGGGGCTCTAATCCAAGCAGTGGTCTTCATAACAATGTCATTTCCTGCAGGGATCCGACTGCAGCACCATGGCCATGAAACCTAAACATGGGTGCCCCCACCACTAATGGCCTGTCCCTGAAGCCCATTCCCCACTCCCACCCAAGGCCCAGTCCCAAAGCCAAACCCCGGGGAAATCAGCTCTAGGAAGACTGGGAGAGATGCACGTGGCTGGCAAGGGGAATGGGAGCCATTCTGCATAACACGGAGCCTAGAATGTAACTTTCATTCCTATCTGGACTATCAGCTTGCATACCCACAGCCGCAAGTGCATGTACACACACACACACACACACACACACTCACTCACACCCAATCCCAGTCCCACAGCCCTCCCCATCTGGCCCTGGAAGAGGCTGCCAGACACCTGGACAAAAGGGGAAGCAAGGCCCCTTCTCCAAGGTTCCTCGAGGTTGAGGTTGCGGGTGGAGCTCACTGCCTCAGCACCTGGCGGGGGGCCTCTTACTAATGCCCACTCCCACCCCAACAAAAGGGGCAGAGCTCAGAGGGTGTGCCCAGAAAGCCGTACTGTTAAAAACAAAACAAGAAAACCTCCCCAGGGATCCTGATGCTCCACTGCTGAACATTCCTGATCATCTGGCAGCCATGGCCAGAGCAGGCAGGGTGACCTGGGGGGAACACGGGGGAGACCCAGAGGTTAAAGGCTTAGGAGCCCCCAAACCACAGTGTACCTTTGCACACACTTCAACTGCATACTGACTGTAGCAGAGGGCCTGACTATCACCTGCATCACATCCCCCACACACAGCCTCCCTAAAAGTAACTGCCCCAAGGGATGGGGCTATGCCTCCCCCTCTCACAGCATGCCCCCAGGCATAGCTGCCTCTTCCCTCAGAGAGCATCCCAGAGGGCCACACCTCCCCCTCTTGCAACCCCCTGGTGTGCAGAGTGGCCAGCACAAGTCTCATGGGCCCTGCACACCATGTGCTTTATCCTATGAGTACCCTCAGCAATTACCAGAGGCGCCCCTCATTCATGTGGGGTCTGAGAACCACGGGGTCAGGGTAGCTCCTAGCAGGAGAGAGAAACCCTCACCCTCCCAGGGCAGCCCCTAGGATGCAGCCCAAGGAGGCTTCCCTGGCCAGAGGAGGATTTCCTGTCAGGGCCAAAGAGCCTGATGGGAAAGGGCCCTGCCTCAGCCAAGTTCAAGCTCCCTCTCCACCCACAGGCCAACGGTTCCTGAACAAAGGCAGGCAGCCGGACCCCTGGCCCGCAGGCTACTGCCCAGGGTCTTTTCCTGTCAGGATCTGGCTATGAGTACCCTTTCCTGCACTTCCTCCTGCCGTCTGTGTGACTCCAGCCCGCCAGGCTGACTGCTGGCAGAGGGGGTCAGCCCTCCCTTGAGCAATCTTGAGACCTGTTTATTCTCTTGGACAGAAAGAGAAGAAAACCACAGCCCTGTCATGGCTAAACAATGAGGAACAGAAAGCCCCTCGCAGAGTGGGACAAAAGGTCACTCCCTCCTCTGTGGTGCTCCCCGGAGCAGTGGCCAGCCGAACCACAGCCCTGGGAGCCAGGCCTCAGGACACTGCAGGGTCCACTCGGGTTGGGGTCCCAGGAGCTCCCCAGAGCATGGCAAGCAGCCTCCAGGAAATGTAGAGCTCACAGAAGATTCCAGTTCCTTTGGCCATTGTCAGGGAGGCTCAGACCCTCACGGCCCCCACCCTCAGGGGAGCTCTCACCGACATCTTAAAACGAGGAAATAAATTGAATGGTACTCAATTAACTCAGCATGTTTAGCAGACCCAATTCATTAAAATATCGGATCCCCAGGTGACAATTTGGAAATCATGGATGAGTGCTACCCACCCATTTAACAGGTGGGCAATCTGTGACCCAGTGCGGGGCGGAGGGAGCACTGGAGGAGACAGATGAGAAATAGGACACAGCTAGATAGACACATGGATAGATGACAGATAGGAAGGTAGGCTGTGCACAGGAGGCCGTCAAGGCCCCGGGCCCACGCAGGCCTCAGAGCTGCCTGCTACCCAGGTCCGCAGCCCCCATTTCCTCCTCCGCCTCGGGCTCCCTCCTCCTCCGCACAGGAGGAACCAGTGCGGGGGGAGCTAGGAGCTACTGAGCACGGGTATCCCTGCAGCGACTGTATGTGCTCAGACCACTGCCTGATGGCGTCTCCGCCCACCACTCCACAAATGCTCAGTCAGAGCAAGGGGACCACGTGCCGAGGCTGCCCAAGAAGAGCGGCACTCCTGCTGCCCCCACCGTGCTCCCTGGGGAGCCCACGCTTCCATGATGCCCCCTCCTACCATGTGGCCTCCTCCCTCCAGCAAGTTCTCTGCTTTGGCCCTCAGACCCTCTCTAGGGCAGGTAACAGTGGGATAGTTGGGAGCACCTACGATGTGCCAGGCAGGCTTCAGGTACTTTACAGCGTCCCACTTCCACCCCAAAAAGCAGGTGGGTGTGCGCCCATCTCACAGTTCAGGCAGGTCAAGTGGCTTGTCTGAAGTCATCCAGGGAGGAGGGTTGGGGTTGGGGTGTGATTCTTGGGGTGTGACACTAGAGCTTTGGTCCCCTCCTCAGGACAGCTCAAGGAGACTAGTTCTCGGATCTGCCTCCACCTTTGACCCTGAGTCACTGCCATGCCACCAGCCCCCATTCACCCACCTCCAAGCAGAGCAGGGACTGGGGCACTGGCTTACCTGGGCACACATGCTCCCTCTCTCTCACACCCACCCACACACCAACCCTGGGGACCTCTCGGCCTCAAGCCAACGTCCTCTGACCTCAGCTCTGACCTGGTTTCCCAGGTGACCACTCAGAAACCTTAGCATAGCCAGTCTTCTATAGCAGGCAGGGCTGTCGGCCCCTTCCCAGAGCAGCCAGTGTCACTGGGCTCCCTAGAGGGCCCACCCCCAGCCTGGCTGCTCCTCCGCAGACAGGGCAGCAAAGGCTCATAGGCAGAGTCCATGAGCAGAGAGGGCCAGCCCAGCTGATGGGCAGCTCTGCCAAGTGCCAGAAAGATGCGTGGGAGCCCATTAAAAGGAGGATGAGGCCCAGTAGTGGGGGCGGGATTGAGGTACGGCAGCTCAGGGCTGGCAGGAGCCCCAGACATTATCTCACACAACCTCCCATTTAGTGGCAGAGAAAGTCAGGGGCGGGAATGTCTGTTTGCTCATTCATTCACTCATTCAACAAACGGCACCGAGCACCTGCTCTTCTAGGTGCCGGGCGGACACATCCAAGTCCCTGCCCAGGGAAGCTGAACTCTAGTGACTCAGACACAGCCAGTAGAAAAGGTGAGGTGGTAGCAGCACCAGGGCAGAGGAAAAGCACAGTGAGGCCAGGAGCCACAGGGCAGTGTGCGTCCCAGGCACAGCCGGGGCCAGCACAGCTAGGCCTGAGGGGAGGAGGGCAAGGGCGAGGGGCTAGGAGACGAAATCAGGGGCGCACCTTCTGAGAGCTGGCTTGGAGCCGGGCACCGTGCAGCAGCTTACACACACGCCTTCTCTCCAATCCCTCATCCCAGCACTGTGAGGTCAATACTGTTGTTATCCCCAGTCACAGATAAGAACACTGAGCCTTCTCCAAGAGGCCTTGCCTCCAGCCGTTTCTTCCCTGGCAGCAAGCTGACACCTGTATCTCCCCTGCTCCACGAAGACTGGATTTCAACCCCCCGGCCCACCCCAAAGGCCCTCCCTCCCCGACTCAGACCCACTCTGCGA